ATGCTGACGACAAACGATGATAACACGGTAAATGGGCAACGAACGCCTTTCACGATGATCCTGACTTTTGACAGCCGTTAATAATTAATTCGCAATAATACAATTCGAATGATCGTAGCAGTAAGTATTTTATGATACAGTAAAGTACAGCGTGCCTCGAAGAAAACGTAAACAACAACGTTCAACAATCGATAATATCAAACAGAATATTCTTTGTAAGTGTTTATATGTATATATTTATATAAAGACATATATACGCTGCGCGTATATATATATTCATATAAATATATAGGTATATATATTATCATTATTATACACAAAACGTAACACTGTTGCGATCTTAAGAGGGAATGCCCTACTAAAAAATAGGTATCCGTTTTGTCGATGGTAGATTCAAAAATGGGCGGGGGTGGGTTTGTGGTAAGAGGAAAATATACATGTACATATATATATTTCCTTTTTCTACCTCGATCGATCGGTGGATCGACCCCCAAGGTACATAATAGTCAACCGTTTTGTAAATGCACAAGTCACGAAGAACCCATGCTCCGCAATTTCCTATCCGACACCGTGATCGTACCGGCGCGGCATAGGTTTAGTACATACGCATCGACAAGTTACGAATTCTTTCCGATACGAAACTCTTCCCGGTTTCGCGAAGAAATGCTTGCCGCCCTTCGTCGCGAGAAGCGCGATCGCGCGTCAGCCCCGAGACTGAACGGACTTTGGAAAGGGGTTCGGGCGTCGACACCGTCTGGTCAGCGGATAAAATCGGAACGGAGAACGCGCGCGTTAGACTCGTGGTCCAGTGGTACAGTGAAACGAAACGCTTGTCTCTCCTTCTCACGGATTAAAATGGGCTACCGCGCGCAGCGCTTCTTCGCCGGGTACAAGTCTGCGTGGAAGCGAACGCAAGGAAGCAACGATCCCGGCACAACTATTCGCTCGGGGGTAAGGTCTGCTGCTGTTGCCGCTAGAGTTCAGATGTGATCTCGCCAGGGCGATGCAACCGAGATCCGTATCGTCGCTTTTCGTATCGCGGAGAACCCGTCAACTTGCTTGAAAAAACGACGATCGCTGTTAAGCGGACGAAGAGCCACGAGTAACGGTCGCCTCTACGTCGAAGCTTCTTTGTTGCGTACGCGGGAGTGTGCGTTCAAGTGAATTCCGGGGCTAGCGTGGCCTCATGGAGCTGTTCAAAGGCTGCATCAGGCCACCGTTGATGTACCCGTGGTACGTGGTGTACACTGCAGTCGGATTCTGCTGATGCGGGTCCTGGGGATACGGCGCGGGTACGTTCACCACGCCAACCGGTAGCTGGCTAGCTTGATTCATGAAGCCGCCGAGTTGAGCCGCTTGGTTCATGTAACCGGTGGCTGGCTGAGCCACCCTATAACCATACTGGGCCATGAGATTCGTGTTGAGCGCTACGTTCGGGCTGACCCGGCTAGCGGCGCTCTGCATTTGAGGACAGGTACTTCCCGGGTCGAGAGTTTGTCTGTACAGGCTCTCGCTGGGATACGGTTGAGTCAAAGACGCCATGTTGGCGGCGTTTGCGGAGGACCTCGAGGTCGATCTGCTCGGGGGGCCGGGCGTGCCGGGTGGTGGCACCGTGTTCACATTATAGTAGTTCTTCGCGTACCCGAGGGGCACCTGAGGAGGGGTTGGGAGTTGCCTCGATGTCTGAGGCGGTGTCATCGTGTGCGGGATCGGGGGCGGTGGCGTCAGGTTCATGGCTGGCGACGGTGTAGGTGGTATCATCTCCAAACCGTTCGTCAGCTGTTGCAACTTCGCTAGGCTACACGAGTTGGTTGTCTGATGGTTCCCAGAGGCCGACAAAGACGGCGCGGGTGTGTGTGAATGCGGGGGCATCGCGCTGGTCTGTATATAGAAGTTCGTTGCCGTGGTGCAAGGCGTCGGCGCGCCGGATCTGCGGCTTCCGTGCTGGATCACGTAAGTGTTCTGCGTGGGGAAGGTCTGCGAGGCGACAGCCATGTAGTTTCCTTGCGAGATCACGGCCATGTTGTGCGAGTGAGCGGCGTGCGTGTGAGAGTGCGGATGGGGTACCGGTGGTACGCTCATCGATGAAGACTGCTGATACTGAGGCGGTACGTGGCTCGTGTGCGCCACTGTCGTATGGCTGGTGTGAGAGCTCGTGTGCGAGCTCGCATGAGACGTCGCGTGTTGAGAAGAGGCTTGAGTGTGTGGCGTCGGAGGTGTGGTTCGATGAGACCTGCTGCTCTGTTGCGCCGACCTCGACCTGTGAGTCGTCTGCGAACCACTGGCCCTCTTATTGCTGTGGGACTGCGTCTGCGACTGTTGTTGTTGCTGCTGCTGTTGCTGCTGTTGTTGCTGTTGTTGCTGCTGTTGCTGTTGATGTGTTGACTGTTGCTGCGGTTGAGACGGCTGAGACTGCTGAGACTGTTGGGTATGCGTCATACTCTGGCTCTGCGTTTGCTGAGCCAATGACAACTGCATCGGTTGGGGCGTGTGAGATTGCGGCAAAGGCTGCGGACTCTGCGTGGGAATGCTTTGAGGCGTGTGAGACTGAGGCAAGGGCTGTGGCGTATGGGACTGCGGTAACGGTTGCGGCGTGTGGCTCTGAGGAAGCGGCTGTGGACTCTGCGTGGGTATACTCTGCGGAGTGTGCGACTGCGGAGTCCTCGGCTGTTGGAGAGGCTGCGGTGTATGAGGCTGATGCATCGGGTGAATGCTGACGTGTGCCGGTGGCGTGTGTTGAGGCATCGAGCAGTCGGCGTATTGGACCTGGGGCGATATATTCACGGCCACGGACGTGGCCGGTGGTGCAATCTGCATGGACACGGAGATGGGAACGGTGACCGAGGCCGGCATCGACGGCAGAGCGCTGGGCGGCCTCTCGACGCTGTTCTGGGACGCCAGATCGCTGGATATCGAGGTTGGAGACTCCAATCCCAGCTGACTGACGTCCAGGTCGCACTGACCATAGTGCAACGAGTGGACCGAATTCGTGGTCGAGTCGGGCGTGTAAACTCCCATCGAAGGTAGGTCCGGCTGCGAAGGTGGCGTCCGCTTCACCGAACCAGGATTCTCCAAGTGCGGCGTTGTCTTCCCGCTCTCAGGAGAGTTCTGCTTCATCTCCTCCGGCTGCGTTTGATGAAGATGCATGGTTTCTTGTTGCTCCATGATCGGCAACGGCTTCTCCTGCGGTGTTAGCGGTTCAGTTTCCGGCGAGGCGATATTCGAAACGACACTCGACTCCTTCTTATCCGTAGGCGTTGCTGGAGATGTTTCGATCTTTGGCCGTGTCGACTCTTCTTTCGTCTCCTTAAGCATTATCCTCTCGGAAATCGTCTCTTCCTTAGGGCTATCAATATCCTGAGTAATAGCTACGAACTTTTCGGTTTCCTCCCCTTTGGGCGAGGGAACTTCAGGTACCAATTTCGACGTTTCCGGGCTACGAGAAATCGCTTTCTCGGTCTCCGAGTCTTTATCACATTCTTTCGGAGCTTCGCTCTCCTGATCCACGTCCCGTGTTTCCAACTCGACCTTTTGCGGCAAGCACTTCTCCGTCTCCTCCGGCTCCTTCTCCGGAACCGTCGTCGTCGTATCTACCGTTTTCTCTGGTTGCTCGCTCGAATCAGTCTCCGGGTTGCTCGAACACTGTTGCACGGATTTTGGCCGTGGCGCAGGTACTTCTTCCTCCCCTTCGTCTTCGTCGCCTCCTTCGTATTCGCCGGGACTCGCGGACGCCGTCTCCGCTTCCGGTGGCACGATCGTCGCGCTCTCTTCCACGCTTTCATTCTTGCTCGTTTCGGCACTATCCTCCTTGGAGACGGAGACAGACAGCTCCGGAACGGGTGATTCCTTCTGCCGTGGAGAGTCGGGTTTCTCGGAGCCAGCCGACGGGGATAACGCAGGTGGAGGTATCACAGGACTCTCTGGTCTGTCGTCGGCAGGTGTTTCTGGTTTCAACTGAGGCATCTTCAACGCTTCTTTCTCGGCTTTCGCTCGTCCCCGCCTCGACATCGGCGGGGACGTCTTCGTCTCCTTGGTTTCGTCTTTGCCGTTGCACTGTGCCTCCTCGGCGATCTTCTTTTCCTTGGCCTGTTTCGCCTGCAAGTACTTGGTCTGTCTACTCGTCACCTTCAGCAGGATGTCGTCCACCTTGCACTGCTTCTTCGCCGGTTTCTGCACCGCCGAGGACGAAGAAACGGACGTCGCCGTTTTGGGCGACGTCTTCTCCGGCTCCGCGGCGTTGTCCTTGTCCCTCGGTGAATCTTTGTCCTTCGTCTTCTCCTTCTCCTTGGGCTTCTCTTTCTCCCGGTGTTCCTTCTCCTTCTCTTTTTCCTTCTCCTTTTCTTTCTCTTTCTCTTTCTCCTTCTCCCTCAAAGACTCTCGAGTCCTCTTCCTCGAGCTAACCTCCGACTTCTCCTCCTTCTCCTCGGCTTCAGTCTTTTCGGAATGTTTTCGTTTGCGGAGAGGTGTCACTGTCGTCGCGACGGATTCGACCACCATAGGAGTCTTCGGTGTCCTGATCCTTCGCCTCGACATGGTCGACAGCGGCGTCGCTTTCGTTGGGCTTGTCGCGTTGTTCGCGGCGTTTTTTGCGGTCGTCACTGACCTGGAATTCCTTGGCGTCGTCGGGACATTCTTCGTCTCGACTTCCATCGATTCCTTCGTCGACTCAGGCGTCGCGGAAGTGGTACGAGTCTCCCTTTCCTGTTCCTTCGTCCCCTTCGTATCCTTCGACTCCTTCGATTCTTTCAACGATCTCGCTTCCTTCGTCGCTTCTTTCGCATCCCTGGACTCTCTAGAGATCTCCTTGTGCACGGCGGTAGACTTCTGCGGGCTCTTCTGCTTTAACGGTGATGACCTTCTTTGACCTAGTCTTCTGCCCCTAGGCTTCTTCTTGATTTTCACTTTCTGAATCTTCTCGACAATCGCGGGCATCTGTTTAGGCTCCGCCACGGGAGAGGACTCGGAACTGGTGTCACCGCTCTCCTCCGGGCTTTGGTAGGGATTCGGTATCTGCGTGAGCAACGGGATCCATCTGAGACAGTCCGGGTCCAACTTGATGCGGGAACTCTTGCGCACTCTCGCCATGTGAGCGTCCACTTTGCCCCAATCGACTACCACAGCCACCTTCGAGTTCCCTTCGCCGGGCAAATGGACCGTCTTGATGAATCCCAACAACTGCATAGCGGTTGCGATATCGTGAGCCGACACGCCTGTCTCTTTTGTGATGTCGCCCAGCTTGATGTCCGTTGAGTCTCTGTGAGCGTCGAGGTACTCGAGGACGACGCTCTTCCAAAACGAGTGATACGAGACGCGACCAAGATCCGATAGAGGCTTCTCCGGGGTGCCGGGGATGCCCTCGACCTTGGACAACAGGTAACTGAACTCGATGAGAAACCTACCGAAGCCCTGCCTCTGATACTGCGGTAGAGTCATGATGCAGGATACGTTGTATCTCTGAGCGGGGCAATGTTTCTCCTTGCTGAAGTAGCCGACCAGGTGGCAGCCGTACTTGTCGTTTTTCGTCACCGCGTAAAACAGGAACGGCTCCACGTCGTAGTACAGCGTCTTGTGATCCAAGAACAATTTTGCTAATAGACACAGGTTCTGACAGTAAATCTTGTTCACGTTACCGTCAATCTGAAAGGACGAAGAACAGCCGGGGTTAAGGAGATCCAACTTCGGATGGATTTGAATAAGAATTCATTATCGATTTGACAACGAATCATATAAACGATGAATGGGAACAAACCTCGAAAACGGACAGTCCGTTACACCTATAGATTTCGGTGGCTGGTGGATGCCTCCACTGACACTTGTCCATGTGTCTGTCGAGTACCGCTCGACTCTTCGTGTACTTTAGGCAAAACTCACAGAAGAACAGCTTCGGTAATCTCGCGTACTCCTGGGGGAACGGGCTGGAGTACCACGTCTCTACTTCGTACCGGCCGAAAACGATGGCGGCGGGGTTCCGTGATCCGTTGCCGCCCGTGGAACTACTATTCCCGGGACTGACGGTCACGGCCTCCTCGCCGTCACCGTTCGAAACGGTCAGTCGAGCCGCCCTGTCTCGGGCGTCTTTGAATAGATCGACGTCCTTTTGCGTAACGCCGGGTGGCAAGGTTTGCGGCAGAATCGGCTCCTCTGTAATCAGAATTGGATCGGTTGATTCGTCTCGTGCTCGCGCATCGCCGTTGGACGAATAGAGAACGACGAAAGTAGAGTTCTACGTCGAGCCATCTCTATCGAGAGAAACGTTCCAAGTGGAGAGAGACGCGGTTCTAGGTCGCGATACTCGCGTGTGGTTCTCCCGGCGAACGAACGATCGCGGAACGAAAATGCGAACACCGAGTGTACCGCGACTAGCGGCAGGATTTCTATCGTCGACCGGAAAAGCGAATGTTACTTCGATGTTACGCGAATGGCAAGCGTGATGTTAACCAGAGTGCGCAACCTCAAGAAGTGAGTAGTTCTGGCGGTAACGTAACGGATTAGCTGTTAATAACTGTGAGTACGGTAGATTCCAAAGAAAGCAAAGCTGTGGGGAAGTCGGATTTTCGTGGGATGTGTTGGCAGAGTATCGTAGCTGGCTCTTCGGTGGCAAAAGGGCATTCGTTCTGCGCTCTGCGGAGGGCCTCGAGTTTACACAACACAACAGTGCCTGCTAAACGTCAGCAGCAGCAGGTAGACTCCAGTTTCGACTAATACGGGGCGGCTGAGTGAGGTAATGCCACCCAGTGCCGTATTTCTTCGTCCTGGAAAACTGACCAGTACAGTAACTTCCGCTTGTTGCTTGGTGGAAGGGAGAGCGGGATCGAAGGATACGTGGCTTCGACGATTTCTCCTCGAGGCTTCGTACGTCGCGACGATTCTAACAGTTTCGGCGGTCTCCGTGTAAAGCGCGTATCTTTTCCCCGAAACAAAACGAAACTGAACGAAACGAAACGAAACGAAACGAAACGAAACGAAAGGAAACGAAAGGAAACGAAACGAAACGAAACGAAACGAAACGAGACGAGACGGAACGAAACTGTGCGAAACCATTGCGCGTACAGTCGGGTGATTTGGCGGGCGTGCACTAGTCGTGTACCCTACGAATATGCGGCGTGGATTAAAGGAGAGTTAAGTGTGCCAGAGCCAAGTAGAAAAAAAACATAATTAGTGACATGCAGTAAACCACGTAAGTATACGTGGTGTAAAACGAATGGAAATCCCCGTCGATCGGGCGTGCACCGGCGTCGGATCCTCGTCCATCCGTCTCGAGAATCTACCCGCCACCGTGAGAGACGCATTTCCATCGGTTTTACACCGTGTGACCGATAAACATCCTATCGAGGAACCTGATTGTTCTGTGCTCGAACGCGTGACGGCGTTCCCGGCCGATTGAACGAGATAAAAAAAATGACTAACACACGTTCGTTGGAACAAGAGGAAACGAGAGACAGAAATACATATGCATATATATAATATATATGTATATATACGGAGGGAGAGAAAGATAAAGAGACAGAGAGAGATAAAGACAAAAATCGAGAGAGAGAGAGAGAGAAAGAGAAGAGTGAGAGAAAAAGAGAGAGAAAAAAAAGAAAGACAGAGATCCGATCGAGCGAGATCGCGCGCAGCACGAAAGAACAATCACGTTGATCCTGGAAAAGAAGTTACGTGTCAGAGTCACATGTACACACACATATCATATACCACACCACACCGCCAACACATCCACGTGGTGGTGAGCGAGGATTAGATTAGAGGGGAATTTTTCTTTTTGCGACTTTTTTTTGGGTGCATCATCGAGGTTAAGGGACTTCGTGAACGGGTCGGGGATAGACTCTTACCCTTCCTGGTGGAGCAGGGTGTCGCGCGGGGTGTCGTGGTGGTGTTGGTGGTGGTGGCGCTAGTACAGGCTCGTGGATTGGACTTTAGGCTAGGATTTGATTTCACGGAATCGGAACACAGGCCGGACTTCGAAACAGCGGGCACAGGGTGGCGTGTCGTCTGATTGTTGGTCGTCTCCGTGACCGTGTTGCTGTTATTATTGTTGTTGATGTTGATGTTGTTGTTATTGTTGATGTTGTTTCGCTTTCGCGGGTAGTGCTCGTGCCTGAGGGAGGACGGCGAGGACGACGGCGAGGACAGCGACGCGTCCGTCGCAGCGCACTTCACTAGCGACGCGTCGTCTTTCATCAGCTTCCTCCTCTCGTGTTCGTGCCTCTTACTGTTCACCGCGGTTTTCACGAGATTCGACGGCGTCATCTTCGGCAGCTTCTCGTTCAGCGTGCCCACCACGAACAGGCTCTCGTCAGAGGGCGTGAAAATCCCCGGCCTTGGCACTCTCGGTGCTTCCTCTCTCGCCTCTGCCGCCTTCTTTCTGTCCTTCGACTTCCCGGTGGCGACTACCGCGGGCGAGACGTCTCTTTTGTTAGTTTGCGCTCCTCTGGGAAGCTTGCTCGCGGTACCGCCGCCGATTTTGCTCGGGTCTGGTTCCGGGTTAGGCCGTTTTCTCCTGTCCGGCGCGTAATTGGGCGCAGCCCCGCCGGACCTTGCCCTACTGTTCGTGGGCACTGAAAAGAAGTGGCTCAAACCGTCGATCAGGCCTTTCAGCTGGCCAGCGCCAGGCTTCGCTTTGTTGTCGACGCCGGCGGCGAACCCGGCGGACGCGATACCAGCGCGTTCGTTCTTCTGTTTTTTCTTGTTGTCGAGGCCGGAGTTCGCGGCCGGTTGTATGTGCAGGCCAAAGGTCGGCGTGCCGCCCACGTCCAGCTTGGGCAACGGGGCGCCGAAGGTGTTGTTGATGTTACTGAAAAACGGCGACTCCGAGTTAAGCTTGGCGGCAGCCGCGGCCGCGGCGAAGCCCCAGGGCTTGTCTTCGCTGAGGTCGCAAGAGAACGGACTCCTCGGTTTCGGGGACTCGACCACCAGCCGGCGGCCAGGCTCTCTCGCGTCCTCCTCCTCCGAGGAGTCGCTCGATTCGCTCGAGCTGTTACCCTCTTCGTCCTCCTCTTCTTCCTCCTCCTCCTCCTCGTCGTCGTCATCGTCGTCATCGTCGTCATCGTCGTCGTCGTCGTCGTCGGTGGAGTCGCTGCCCTCCGAGGAGTCGGTGTCGGTCGCGTCACTGCCGCTGCTGCTGCCGCTGCTGCTAGACGCTAACGAGGCCCTTTTGCCGGGTACCGGGGGCTTCTTCTGGCTCGCGTTACCCCGAGTCAACCTAGGACTAACGTTCTGCGAGGACTTAGACTTATCACCGCCGCCCCCCACCCGCTTCAGCTTATTGTGCTCCGCGTTAAATGCGCTCAGCCTAAAGAACTTTTGCTTCTCCTTCGAGATCCGGTCGTTCTTTTCTTCGAGTAGCCTACCCTGGCCTGCGAGTGGGGCGGGGGGTTGTGGTAGAGGAGAGGAAATTAAAGGTGGTTGACGAGGGGAGACAACACCCGCATTACCGTCCGAGCTGCTGTCCACCTGTGCCACTCCAGCACCGCCTTTCTTGCCCGGAGTCGCGATCGTCAAGCTCTTTCTGGACACCGCCGATCTGAAACACATCCGACGCGACAGCATCGTCCATTAAACCCCGTCGTCGGACGAACGACCCTCCGTTCGATATCCCCGTCGGAGACGTCTGGAATCGAACGAGAGGATCCCGTTCGTTTTCTGCTGACCGTGTCGCCGCTCCTTACTTTCTATTCTCTCGTAACTTGCTGATTCTCTTCCTGGCGCTGGTCGGTGTGTCGTCTAGGGAGGCCGCGTCTTGCGCCTTGCCCTTCTTCCCGTCGTCCTTCGAGACCGGCGTGTGCGCCGTCTGACAGTGCCGACACCTCCAGGGTGCCTTGTTCTTCTTGTCGAGGCCCGGGTCCAGGCAGGTGGGATGGTAACATTTTACGCAGCCGGCGCATTTCACCAGGTAGTTCTGCGACTCCTGGTCCAGCTGGCAGCCGGCGCAGGTCGGTGAGCAGTCGTCGCAAGACCACGTGATCCCCCTGTCCACGAGGATCGAGAGGTCCGGCGGCGCGCACGAGTTGTGCAGCGCCGCGCCGCACACGCTACACCTGCTCAGCTTTTCCGCGGCGTTCCGCTTCGTGTTGTTGTTGTTCGCGGCTATCGTTGCACCGAGACACTCCTTGCATATCGGCAGAGGCGCCGGCAACTGCGACAGAGAAAACAACGTTGATTAATCGATCCGTCGTGAGGTGAAAAGCCATGGGTGACATTCTAAACATGGAACTCAACCCATTTCGCCCCATTGCGACGGTACTATATTCTTTAACCCTTTGTGGACGAATGTCGACATCTCGACAGGATGAAGTTCATATTTGGAAGACTAACTCGCAGACAAATGATTTAATTAGTCAAACGCCGAGAAATCGGTACGTAGTTTCCTTTTTTCCTATTGCTTAAGCAATTGATATATGATTTCCGCGAAGGATTAACTCGAAAGGAATTGCTTGCGGGACAAAACGGATTAATTCGTACCGGTGCGGCGCTACGTTGCACCGTTGGCGTAACGTACGAATAAAAGAAGGGCCGCCGTCCCACGAAACGTGAAAGATCGAAAAGTCGATAGAGAACCGTTCGCAGAGGCGAAACTGTGGGCGCACGGTCGCCCGCGTTATTGCCGGGAAAGCTGTTATTACGGCTCGATCGAGCGGGCTCTATATATCGCGCCGCGTTCACGGTGCGTAAATTTCTATGTATTCGCGGTGGCTCGTATCGCGCGCGTTGCATACGAAAGACGACCGACCGACCGACCCACCAACCAGCCACCGTAAAACATAATTATTCATTCCGGTAATAATGCAGCCAGCTAGGTTCCGTATATCTTCGCATCAACGAGGGTGCATCTTATTAAAACACCGTGTGTGCTCTCTCGTAGACGCGGCGTTTCACCTCGAAAGTGCTCGATGCACGTGCGAAACAGCCGAACCTTCGGGCAACTTTCGAATTTCCGAATGAAATCGAACGGCACGCTTATCGATCCGCCATATGGACTTCTCGCGGCGCGAAATAAATCGACGACTTTTCACCCTCACCCTGTGCCGAGCGTTTTTAGTTTCGTGTATTCGTTGGAACTGTTTCAACCCCTCGCCCTATGATTTCTTAATCAACAATAATCGATCCGACTACCTCGTCCCTAATAATTTATTGAAAACAAGACAAGTTCCAAGCATATTCTATATATACGTTTGCTTTAAAGGATAACAATTCAGTGACTCACTGGGTGAATCGATTGAAGGTGAATAAAAGTAATACAATAGCTTATACAATGATTTTGAAAATTTAACAGGTTGAATGCCAAAACATTTCTATATCATAAATAATGCTAGCTACTACGGTGATATTCAGTTAGATAAATTTGCAACAATAACAATGCAATTCAATCAAATGATTTAATCTTATATTTTTTCCATTTCGAGTATTTTGCTTTATGAAATCATGCAACGTTCAACGTGTTAAATGCAGAACCAAACAATCATTGTAGAATGTATTCTACTTTTAATGCGTAAAATAGTATATCCTTAAAGTTATTCGCGAGTCTGTCTCGATATAAGACCGCGAAGGGTTTGTAATCTATTTCCGGAAAGAGAACAGCGTGGAATACCACGATGATTCAGACCGATTCGTCAACGATCGGTGTCTCGTAGAGAGTCTCTCTTACGGAATGTAAAGCGAGCCGCGGTAACGCGAACGCTACGGTTCGTCGTTCCCGTTATCAGCCATGCGGGTTCCCGAGACTCTCGCGACCGATAATCCTGAGCCCTATCTGCACGTTACGTCTGTATACAAAGTTACGCGTATCACGATCGGCTACCAGTTTTAGGTTCGAGGAGACGAGGCGATAAGATCGTCGGAGGCGTCGAGTCAACACCGGTTCGCCGAGCTGCGCGTAACGCGCGCGATTCTTCACGAGGGATCGCGTTTCCGTTAACACACTTTCCGGAAGTCAATTCGACGGACATGAAATTTTGTAAACACAATTTAGTCGATTTTGGTTGAACTATACGAACACGTATTCGAAATCTCGGTTTTCAAAGGTCTAATTTCTAAGATGTATATGAATCAACAACTATGTTTCTAGGAACGATAGAATAAAGTGTATTATAAATGACTATGAAGCTAATGTTTGAAGCTGACCTCACGGAACGCGATTGGACGCACATCGAATTTCATAAACGTTATTTGGCAAACGTTCACGTCGATGTTAACACGTTCGCTAGCAGCGTCGCATATTTGCGACGACCGCAATCCTATATTTTACACAAGGAAATGAAATGAATCCTATAGATTCTATCATTTAACGTTACAAGCTACGGCATTATATTTAGAAACTCGATGGACTCGTTTTAGCTTCATTCTTTCACTATTTTGTTCAGCAGATTTGCATCGAATAAAGTATTACAATTCAGACGATCGTCACCGAAATAAACGCTGCCAGCGAACACGTTGATCGACGCGACTGCATTTCTATCCTAACCGTCCGCTCCTTCTAACCCCTACTTTCCATAATCTAAATGTACGAACATCAATGTTCTCAGGAACAACGGAGTGAGCTCTGCGCGACGAACGTAAACCCAAGCGTTAACGACTAGAATGAAATCGGCATGCTTGACGGGGTAATACTCGTGGCTCTATCTCGATCCGCTTATCTCTCCCATTCCCAGCGACTACATTTATCTCTTATTCCGCGAGGATCCCGCGAGAAGGGTTCAGCCCTCGCGTCTCGAACGGATCGTCGAACAATAACGTTCGGTATCGTACGATATCCATAAATCCATCGTGAATCTCGATTTTACGAACGACCCTGCGTCGGGGGTCGTTGAACTAGTCGAAGAGCTGCCGCGAAAATCTTATCGCCGCGCGGAACCGATACGCGCCACCGCGGCAGTCCGGTTATTCGATTATCGGCCGGGAGAGAGAGACCTGTTGCAGGTGGTTCGCTTAATCGCGATCGGGCCGAGATACCGCGATCCGTGGATCGCACGAGGGAGAGAAGCGAGCGGCTTTCGGAGCCGGTCGTCGCGCGGCGGCGACATTTTCGTCGGGATCCGAAGCCGAAGCCGAAGCTGAGCCGAGCCGAGCCGAGGCCGGAGCATGGGAGAGGAAATTCCTCGAACGGAACACGCGCGATCAGGCTCCGCTTCTCGGACCAACGACCTGTTGCTCGACGACGAGGTACGGCCAATCGTCGAGTAACTGTTACGCGATTGGGCGATCCGGTGAACCGCGTCCTTACGCTCGACGACGTTTCTCCCGATGCGCCTCGCTTGCCCGCTCGCCTTCTCTTTCGAATCCCGGCCACGTTAATGTCAGAGCCCGTGATCACTGACTCATCGTGCGCTTTCAATCTCGTTTATCTCCTCCCGCGGCTCGTCGGGTCTCGTTCCGTTCCGTCGATCGAAATCTTTCGATAACGCCGGACCACTTCCGGTCCCCATCGCCGTTTTCCCTCGTGGAGAACAAGAGGAACGCGTGGACCGCGAATAATGGATGTCCTATGACGAACCTACACACTATTGGGAAATCATTTGATACTAAGGCTAAAGAATGCGTGTCTCATCAGCTTATATCACATCTCATTTTCAAAATTAATTTGCTATCAAGCTGAAAGTGCACAGTCGTTATTGGCGCGGCAGTGGAGGACGGAAACGACGCCGAATGCGGAGTGAGACGGAACTATAAAGAACTTTGTTTTCGATGGTGGCACAGCTAAGGTCGCCAGTGCAAGCTATATAAGGAATATTTCGACGATACGCGTCTCGATCGAGTCAACCGGTGAGGGCCGACTTCCGGTCCGACCGCTTTTAGCCGGTCGATACGAGAAGCGCCGGCGAGGGCAAAGTTGCCGCTCGAAAAGCGAAGGGTCGTCCGGCGGGGGACAAGTGGCGACGGCCGATCGATCGAGAGCGCGGCGAGCACGCGGCTAGGGAAAGGGTCGTCGAAAAAACGCGGGAAACGCGCGCTGGCGGGAAACCGCCGGTAGCGGCGCGACACGGCCGGGTTCCGAACTACCGGTGAGAGGAGAGAATTAGCGGAATCGCGTCGGCGCGAACGTTCTATAACTTTCCGCGCGCGGTCTCTGCCTGTTTCCCTCTCTTTCTCCCTGTTCGCGGTCTGACACGCATAAAACGCGGTCGTCGGGAACGCGGGGAGCCGCGGAGGAGAAGGGAACCAGCGGAGGGGGGCAAACACGGTGGGAGAGAGACGTAAAGAGGGACGAAGACGGACCGACAAGTCGGAGTGATTCCGTGCGCGCGGAGGATCAATAAGAGAAGCGATATACAAACGAGTCGCCGGAAGTTGGCCGAGATAGCGCATCGTCCCGAGCCTCTCCCCGCAGTTACAGCTGGCCCTTCCAGCCCCACCACCATGCCGTGGCACCCTTCGACGGACGGACGGACGGACGAGTTCTGGCCGGGCCGGCCGTTCCGCGGCCGTGCTCGGAGGCGTGGGCACGCGGCGTGACTCGCTCGCTTGCTCGCTCGCCAGAAGAAAGAGGACCGTAACGACCGCGTAATATTTTCCTCGTTGATCCGCGCGACCATCTTTGCCAGCTAATACGCAACGTTATGTCATACGCCCGCCTCCGAATGTGCGAGGCCTTTCCAAACGCGGAATTTTTGGTAGACGAATAAGGTTTTTCTAAGGCATTCTTCCGTATGGCATTCATCGTACTTGCCGGGGAAAGCGTCGTTTCTTGCGGTTCGGTTATTTGGGACTTTCAAAGTTCGCGCGAAGATTCAAGGGGCCAGGGTTTCGCGCGAAGATTCAAGGGGCCAGGGTTTCGCGCGTTTCGATGTACTGTTTGAAAAGCGGAAGATATTTGACGCTGGAACTGCTAGACTTTCTAGTCTTGGAATCATCGAAGAGAAACTTGGCTCGGGAACGTGGGTTCTACAGGATAAACGAAATTTTTCGAAATCAACATTGAAATTCGAAGTTTTGACGAATTTTAACTTTTTGAGAAATTTTGTTTTGCGATTTTATAGACGCGAGAACGATGTATTTGTTCGTTGAGACTGTTTCGCTATCTCTTATCGTTCTCGAGAAAGTACACGAGGAAGGAAGTCGCATTTCTTTGAAAGGGTGGTTCCACCCCTTCGAAGTGAAATTCGGCGCGAGAAAGACTTGCAATATACTAGGCTTGACTTGCTCTGCTTACGCACAAAGTTTCATAATTTTTTAAATTTCCTGGATTAATAACTTCCCTTGCCAGTAGGGAAAATAATATTCCCGGATGATCCGGTAGCGATTGGAGACGTTGGACGCGTCACCACCGTTCATGAGACGGAATAGTAGAGCAGTTGAGACTAAATGACTGCGTGCGGTTTTGGAGTAACAGAGAAATGGAGTTCTATCGTCGAAATGGTCGCCACATTTCCTAGCGAACTGCTCGCGCGCGTTTGGTTCAAAATGCAGGGCATACGGCCGTTAATTAGCCAGCAGCTTCGCGGAAACAGGGGCAACTGCGTACCTCGTGAACGAGCCGCGAACAGCCACCGAACGGTCCGTTATTTTTCCGCGGCCTGTTTGCATTACGCCGATTACCCATACGTTCTATCTCCTCCATTGCGCCGTTACGAACGCGAACGGGAGCGCGAGCACGAACTCGTGTGACTCATGCCCTGGAAACGCCACGCCAGCCACACCACGCCACTCAGAGTCGATTCTTTTGCTCGCCGACGCTTTCGATCCGGCCACGCGTCGCCTTTTCGACCGACTAAATTCTCTGCCGACAAACATTCCTCCGCGTTTACCCGACTAGTCGATAATAACGCCGCGATCGGCCTTTTATCGTTTCTGCGTCACGTTTTTCCGTTCCCAGCATTTTCCCGGCGCGCGGCCGCTTCCCACGCGACCGCGGAATTCGATGTCGACGCGGTTCCAGAGTCGAATCAGTCCCTGCGAATGGAGGAAACGAATTAGGAGGGTGTACAGGCACCGATTGTCGCACCTTCCAAATAATATACTTGTATTGGAAAGAGAGTCAGTACTTTTATCAGAGGATCCGAGTGTTTCGTAAGCTGTTACAACTGAGTACGTCTTAATCGAGTACTCCTCTTGTGTTACCCTGATGTTCAGGGAATTCATTATTGGTTTAGAATAATAAAAATAAAACCACCCCTTGCACTACAATCTCATGTCACGCTCGTGAGGAGAAGTTCAGAATTTAACGAATACGAATGTTAATTTGTTCGGGTACGAATGAAATATTTCTCTATTATCTATCGCAAAACTTTAAATGAAGGTTTTTTTTTAATGATTTCTGCTTAGAGGAGTAAGTGTAGGCATAGAATGAACATGGAATTTCTTTCTGATAGTTTATGAACAATAAAACAATTTTGTCGAGGATAGTTGCGAGAGAAATCACAATACAAGGGTTAATTATTTGAAAGTGAAATCCGGTGGGTCGAGTAATACTGGCTATAGTAAAGCTTTATGGGACACTCGGTTGTTTCATAAGTCACAGCTCTGATTCGAACCGATTCCCATGCGCGTTTATTCCAGGCGATTACTCGGGATAGACCGATTCTCAAGTTAACCCTTCGTTGTCGCGCGCATAATGAGAACGAAACGAACGAATACACGGGAAGAACGAAGCTAGAAGAAGAGAGGACAGAACGCGCGATTTCTCTCGCGTGAACGGGACCCCGAGGCTCCTCGAGAGGAGAAAGATCGGTCCGGCGAGATTAATGGATCGCTGCGGCGAGCCGACCGGGAACTCGGCAACTTTTTGTCCCGCAACGTCTGACCCCGGCTGAACCTGTGGAGTCGATGGAAACCGAGAATCGTCGGGGAGATCCCCCATCTGCCCCTTCGCGGATCAGTTCCGCGAGGATGCGTTCGTCGTCTCGTGGATCGCGCGGGCATCGATCACCGCTGCTGATAGGGTAAGTCTGGTAGAGATGGCCCACTTGTTTTGAAATAACTGTTGCATCGTAAACATTGATATCTAGCGGAAAAACTTTATATTCCGGGCCATCTCTACCGGAACTACTCTATAGCGTTTGAATTATCCATAGATAAGGCTTTCACCGATAACGATTCGGTCGGAATTTAATTTAACCTTTTACGATCGGCACATTTTTCTGGTGACAGAACCAACTAGTCGAAGCAAATATATATTTTTAACGTTGATTTTCTTTAGGCGATTTATAATAAATACATGGATATTAAAAAATACAATTGTTTTTTAAGTCAATATATTTTGTAGAATATATATACTGTAGAGACTAATATGTACTTACAATACTTCTCAATTTTTTAATATTTTGAAAACAAACGTTAAATATCGCTACTGTGGCGGCACCGATCGCAAAGGGTTAAGCAAGGCACATTTACCATTACATAAATATAGATAAATAAATATAAAGCGTGAATATGTTAATTTATTACCGACTAAGCGCTACGACTAATCGATTAGCCTACCTTCGGGGTGCTCCGACCGGAAAGGGTTAAAGCTACAATTGGCCACCAGTCGAGTTACACGCTCCGCATTTTCTTGTGCAATTTAGAAGAGTGCGTTTATCTAGGCCTCGATTCATTTATACACTAGCTCGCGTATTACTACACCGATTCGACCCATCTGCTAGTTCTAGTGTTAAATCCGCGCGTGACCCACATGCATCGGCCGCGCGTAAGGGGTATATAAATATTATGATGTTTCGACGCGATGCTCTCGTCGATCATTCGGTGAACGTTGTCGCGAAACGGCAACGTTAACGGCGACAATGAATCGTAGACGAAGTTGGTAAAACTAGAGCCAAACGAGCCATTTCGATGAAACCGTTAACGCGATCCAACGAATTCGAGCGAATCCTAGAGGCCCATGGCGCCGAACGTCAACCGGATACGATTGAAATGGTGCCGGCTGTTGAAGTAGTAAAGATCGATACGGACGTTTAAAAAGAGGCAAGAAGAATGTTCATCGTACGTTCATTGAACGGAAGGATGAACGAAGAACGACCAGTGCTGAACGAGTTAATTGATATTCCGCGCGAAGACGATCGCGTTAACCGCGATCTCGAAGACGAATGAACTCGAATAGCAGCTCCGGATACGCGTTTGCACGAGCGTTCGGTCATTCATTCGTTGAACTGACTAACACTGCGAAACGAGCAATGGAAAAATTTGATGAAACCGTGACGCAAGTGGTGGAGGAATGGCCCACTTTTTAAAATGAACTTCAGGCCTCAATGCAAAGCTCGGTACACTGCCAAGAACAATCGAAAACCTAGACACTTTACAATTGAAATCCAATCGAGTAATTTCACCCGGAATTACAGTTGTGCAAGGTTAAATTTTAAAATCCCGGGACTCGGCGTTACAATTCTCGCAGGGTAGACTTCCGCTCTTTAAATTGACTCGAGCACAGCTTGACAAAGGCAGAGAATCGATGTAATGGGTGAAATCGGGATAGACAGTCCGACGAGCATCGAGAGAGAATTTCAATTGTAGTAATTTTAATCTTACTTGACTCGCTTTAATCGGAAGAATCTCAACAACCCATCGGTACTACGTCTAAAAAGGTAAGGTGAGAATGATTGCAATAGAAATTTTCGGACATTTTCGAAAATATTCGGAGGGCGGAGTTAATCGGTTTGGCCCGTGAACTACTCGGTTCCAGTCGGGACGTGCTCCGACGAGTTCAAGGCCGCGAAAATTCTCGCGATATTCGCGCAACAGTTGCCCTCCGGGCCGCCACGGCGGGTACAGGTGGTTCCGAAACTCGCGAACGTCCGTCTTCCTCAGCGCCGGATGCGATCGGCCATTTTTACGTTTATCGAACAGCTGCGCGGGACCGCGGCCACGCAAGCGGCGCGCTGCGCTGAAAATTTTCAACGCGACGACCGTCCGTTCGATTTGCATTCCCCGGAGGACACGAATGCATTGGCTCTCTCCGGTTTCCAAGCGGCACCGCGACATTAACTGGCCAGAAGAATGGGAGAAAGGCTGTTCGCGGAATGAAGCGTAACAGACACGGGAATTAACCGCGAGTGCCAACCGAATTCTCTATTGGAATCACCTGCGCGCTGCCAAGCAAGGCGGACTAAAGGCAACCCCGTGTAACACGCTGGTTGGGTTCCTGAGGAACGTCGCGTTCCACGAAACAATGGGTGCACCGTGAATTGACTGAGTGTAAGGGGGGACACCAAGGGAGGTACCAAGTATAGGTGAACTTTAGGAATTTTTTTGTTAATAAGTATCAAATGAAACCTTCTGATTTTTTCTGATTTTTTCTGAATGTAATTGTGACCTGCTTTATATTTATATCTTTTTCAAGTCAAAGTGTATTCGCTAGCTTCGAATAACTGCGCCATTTTGTAACATTTTGGCTTAGAAAATACATAAGTATGAAGTGGAAGGTCACAGTTACACGCCCAGTAAGAATCGGATTTCACTTGATAGTTAATAATAACAAAATCCGTAACATTTACCTATATTAGGACATCTCTAGATGTTGTCTACCCTCAAGGCAAACCGTTCAAAACGACAACCTTCGAGCAATCGATCAGCAACTCTAATAACGTTGAATCGATTTCTTTGGTAACTTCTCAAGGAATCATCCGTTACTTTTCCCACAATTCCCGACGCGTCTAACAGCTTCATCGTTAAAAGCCCACCAGATTCTCGTTTCCAACAGCGAATGGTCGAAACAAAGATGAAAGAGAGAAAGGTAAGAGAACTCACCTTGGGGACCGGTGGCTCCGGCGGCGGTGCATGAGCATTGTCCCCGAGCTTTTTGAGATAAGGCGGCCTATCCGGTTGCCGGAAGAGTCTGCCATCCTGAATGACGAGGCCCCGATCGACAGCCCTCTTCGCGGACAACCGTAGTGCGGTCCTGAGGTCACCCTCGGCCTCTTCCTCGACCGTGTGGCTTTGCCGGATGTACTTCTCGATGGTCTTGAGGGTCGAGCCTTCTCTCTCGCCCAGCTCGCGGACGGCCTTGCCGAGCACCTTGCTGAGGTCGGAGCCTTTCCCAACCTTGAGCGGCTTGGACTGCAGCCCGCCGGGGTCCTTATACGAGGATTGGCCCTTGTTGAAGATCTTGAGGACGTCGCCGCGCTTCACGGCGACCTCCAGGTGCTCCGCGATCTCCTCCTCGTGGAAGTTGTGGTGCTGTCGGATCGCGTGGCATATCCGTTCGACGCTCGGCCTCTGTTTCTGGCTGCGGATCTTCCGGATCGCGTCCAGGAACCAGGCCGACCACGTCTCCGCGGACTCCGGTTCGTCCATCTCGTCTCCGTCGGCCGTCTGCCGACGAGGGCGAGGGCGGCGCCGGCGGCGGCGACGGCGTACCCACCCGCCACGTACCTGGCCAGGTTATACGCACCCGGTGGACAACGCGTGAGCGCCTCCGGGTCTGGGTCTGGGTCGGTCGTGTCACGGCCACGACATTCACATCCTGCGCCTACCTGCCCGCTGGCTGCTCGCTTGCTTTTCGCTTGCCCTACCCTGCCCCTTCGTGTCCTCTTTGCAGCTACCTTCCTGGGCTACCTGGAGGCTCGAACTCTCGCTCGGTCGTTTCTCACGCTAAACCTGGAATCACAGCATCGATCAAGTTAGATTATCGTGAATCGCCTGGCTACCCCGTCCCGATCACTCGCAGAGTTTCACTTGTTCGGCCCGCGCGCTCGACAACAACCCCTGCCGTTTATTCGTTTACCGATTCCACTCGACTCCCGGGTCAGTCGAGGCGTCTACTTCGCTTTCACCTCGCTACCGTCCGAACCGCGCGAAGAGCCACGCATTCTTGCCATTCCGTGTCGCGGGATTTTCGCGTTTCCTGCTCCCAGGTGAAGACAGAGGCGCGATTTCCCGCGCTGAAAATCTCGACGCCGGGACGAGGAATTTCGAGCGCGAGCCACCCTCGGATTCGGGTGGCGCGTTTTGTTGCGGTGCGACGCGTGCGACTGTGATTAGCATGGGAGAGGGTCGCGAGCGACGTTTATCGATCGGTTTCCTGGCCGGCCAAGCATTGTTTTCAGTTACGACAACATGCGCCGGGAATTAATTGAAACGTATTCGAGCGTTCCACGGCGCACCGGGGCCCGAGCCGCGAGCGGATCGTCGGAATCGTTTTCGTTCGGCCGTGTTCCCTCGGCTGATCATCGAGATCGGCGACCACGTTTCCCCGGATTGTTCGGAGATTGCAGATGACAGAATACGACGAAGTGAGATATAACGATAACCGGTGAATATGGAGCGTCTTCTTATTGCTATATCAATTCGTCGTATTCTGTTTCATTTGCAATCTTCGTGGCGTTAATGTTCATCACGAGTGACCGAGTCTTCTTGACTCTTCAGAACTGTGGACATGCGAGGAAACCTCGTCTGTGGACAACAGTTGATTTATTTCTCGAGATGCGGTAATTCTGGAAGATCGCCGATCTCTCGTCGATCCGAGGTTTCTCGTGACGGAATTCTCCCGCGATCGGTGCTCGAGAGCTCGTTCCCGGGCGCCCCGACTCGGTAGCGGACGATGATCGGCCGATTTTTCCCCCGAGCGATGAACTTTCTCCTCGAGCTCGAGTTAGGTGCACGCGGCCGTGTCCGAGTGGAAGGGGCGAAATATTTAAAAATCACTGTGCTCTCTCGCCACGGCGCGGCGTCGTGTCCGTATTGCGCAACCACCAGACACGGCCCGTAAGCGCGCCGCGGCTCCTCGAGTCGATCGCTCGTACACGCTCGGCGCCATTCGGAACGGATTAAAACTCGATCGAGAATAGAATCCCCGGGAGCGTCGCGGCATTCCCGAAAAAACTACGAAACGGGCGTCAAAGCGTCGAGAAACGCGCCGCGGGACCGTCAACCAACGAAATCGAGAGACCTTAATCGTTCAAAAGATTTCTTAAGGACGTTTCTTGAAACATTTCCTTAAACATGTCTCGCAAACAGTTGCCGCGTTTGCCCTTACGATTTCCGGAAACGCTGAATCTCGTACCAAAGCTTTAATCCTTTGCAGTCGAATGCCGTAATGGAGACTTCGAGCTGCGACATCTAAAATCGAAAACTGAATAAAATGAATGATTCAATTAATGAGGGGCTACGTGGTTTTTCTTTTTTCTTTTAATATTTCAGACTTCGACGCACAATTCAACTTTTCAAGAAAGCAAATGTTGCGAGTTTGAAACGATCTCGACCGCAAAGAGTTAAATACTAAAACAGAGAATAACCGTGTATCGGTTTCTCGTTAATTCAGAAACGAATCGTCCGCAGCTTTCCATTTTAGCTATGAAAATCCGCGGAAAGAGCAGCAGCCAAGGTGAATCGCGCCCGGTTTTATTGGCTCCGAAGGACGCCGCTCGAGCCAGTGACTCTCCTCTCTTTCTCTGTCGGCCGGTACCCGCTAGAAATTAATTGCTCCGCGGGGAGAACGCGTCCCTAAACGCTGCCGATTACGCTCCAAGCGAAGCGCAGAGAACAGATGCAGCTGCGGCGCGAGTTGACCTAGGCCAGTGTCGCTGCTGGCTGTGAGTCGCGAGTGCACGATAATAAATATCTCCGAGCTTAGCCGGGGAAAAAAACTGTAAAACGGCGAGTTAAACCGGCTCCGGTTGATCCACCGGAAGAGACGCCACGCCGCGCCGCGTCGCGCCATTCTCGTGTTATCCCGTGTTATCCCTTGTGCCACGGCCGCACCGCGTTCCTCCGATCCCTCTTACGACCTCGTTTCCTCGCCACGTGCACGGTCTATTCTCGAAACCGCGTTTCCTACCCTCATGCGGGCACCGTTTCCCGCCAAAACTTGCTATTTACCGGTTCAACCCCTTTAGCCCCAGTACGCGGTATTGGGCAGCTCTCGATCCGCTTCCGACTCCATCGAATAACAACCCCTTCAGTGCTGAATACTCCAAGCCGAAACGTTTCGCGTGGACGGAATATATTTTTGCTCAGCTGAAGATCGGCGGATTATATTAATTCATACGATTTAGTAAGTTGCAATTGTAAGTTGCAGTTTCAATTGTAATTGTAATTCTTCAGCTTCGCCAAATTGAATTATGCCAAGAAACGCGTGTGAGATTGAAAAGATCGAAAAACCCATTCATGCGCTCAGCAGTTAAGGGTTAATTTAGTTCATGGATTGGCACTAAATCGTTCTTGCGCGAATACGTCGAAGAGTGTAAACTATAATAAGATTTTACAATCTGGTATTTGACTTCTTCTTCGGTTGTTTACGATACACGTGCTCGAATCTCGGTTCGATCTCGCTCTATCTTCGTTCATCGAGAATAATAAATGGGAAAAGAATTCTGAACGAACTGTCGGCGTGTATCAAACTTTAATTCTCTAGACACGCTCCGGAGTTACCGGAATAGATCGTTTTCCGAAAGAGAATCTTCGTGTTCGAGCGCACGAATACTCGAAACCGAGTTACCGATTCGATCGCGCACCGTTGACGAGATTGTCGTTACGTATATAAGTAGGTGCGCTCGCGTCCCAATGGCGGGGAAAGGATTGACTCGTTTGGCGGGTGACTCGAACGATCACTCGGGACCGTTTTTGTCGGGGGGACGCCGAGACTCGATCTACGAGCGATACTTTCACGATATCGTAACGCGAGAGATTGCTCCGACTGACTTCGAAGGGTCAACCCTTCGCGCTCGAAAGTCTTTCGCTGAAAATATCCAATACACTCCGATGAAGTATAATGTAAATTAAGAAACAAAACTATTTCAGTATTTCGCTTACCGACACGTTGTTTGAAAACAATTATGAGAAGAAAACTGATATCGAATAAAAATGTACAGCAATCTAAGTAAACAGCCTAACGTAAGCACTATGATATCAAATCATTAATAACTACTTTTAATTCCGTTTATAATTACTGTAAACAGAATAAGTTGCATATGTATAGAATGGTTGAAGTTCTCGTGGTCAACGAGTTGATGCCATACGCAAGACTTTATAATTTCGCTGTATCGAATCGACTGGTGATCGAGAGCCACCTCTCGAGTGCAAGGAGAGTTGATTACCGCGTACGAATCAGTATTTCATTCGACCACTGCGAAAAATATTCGTCCAGCTTTCGATAGCCATAAACAGTCGAGATCGATCGTAAACTCGGCAGCTATTCTCGATCGAAGGCATGACTCACGATCGCGCATCGATGATAGCCGAACTCCCCTCGCGTAACACGTGTCCCACCGGCACGTAGAAGGTCGCGTCGTGACGAACGAGCGAAGAACCAGGCGATCCGACCGGTCGAACGCTTCTGCCTTCCATAATCTTGCCGACCGCGAAAGAAAATAGCTTAACGAGCGAAACGAAACGCGACAAAGTGAGATGTAACGCAATTGCACTGGCATGGCAGTACGTCAACCTGGTTTTCCGTTTACAGAATTAGCAACGACGGTCTCGATGATGCTACTGTTGTGTGTCAAGATCAGAGAAGGCAGGGTGGTTACCGCGTTAACCCTTTGAGTGCTATGGGCACATGCACGTGCAGCCGGAAGATGACTCGATGTCTAGCAAAACAGCATAGACAAAAGGTGTCATCATAGTTTACAGTTTTGATTAGTTGCGTGTAATCGTATTGACGAGTAGTAAACTAGTGATCGAAATATAAGGAATTAGAAGAGGAGACCAACAGACTATTGGGTGAGAAACGTTGAAAACTGATCGGTCAGCCGAATTGTTCAGCCTAGCCATCAAGTGAACTCAGTAGTAAATACGTACTGTCTGTCCACGACTCGATGATTATCGCTAGATTTACTGACATTTACTGTACAGTTTGTATTTATCTTAGAAAAATTGTTATCCGTTCATTTAGATCTTAGAAATTAGAGATTTAAGAGCAGACAATTAGGATACATATTTGCATAACTGCGTTAACAAAACTCGACCCAAACGTTTATCAAATAATGCTTATAAAATTCAATATGAGCCAAATTGACTAGTTCCGTAAATCTAGTGGTAAGCTGAGAATCATGAACTCATGGCTATGCTGGTCGAATTAGTCAATTTTTCTCTCGTCTTCGATTCGAATTTCCTACTCGTAACAGGGTTACACGTAACCAAGTCAAAACTATAAACAAACCTCATAGAGAGAGACCGCTCTTGCCCGTGCGCCGTTCCACCAGTCGTCAAGTCGTGGACGGAGAGTACGTGTCTGGCGAAAGTCATAGCTGCGGACTACGCACGCATATATGTTTCTCGATTATTCTGATCTCGTGCGTGCCGCGCTGACAATTACAAGAGCGTTCCTTGGCATTATTCTATTCAGCGAAACATAGGGAATACAATTACAACTAAACCGTTCGAGTGCGGCGCTCCATTTTCTTGTCTCCGAGCAGATAGCAAAACAATGGAAAGAAACGATTGCGGGGAAAACTAACGGGCAAACTATTCGATCGTACGAACCGATAAGCCGTCGCTTTTAGGCGGTGCGACGTAAGTAGAAGAGTGCTAAACGCCACTGGCCATTCAAACGGTGAACACGTTTACCACCACCAGAATTCACAGCGTTTCGTATGACATTACTTGTTACATCATAACAAAGGCAAATGGTATTAGACTTAGTCATTACTGATTCGGTGTCGTAGTTCTTAAGTTATACTATTATTCAGTTACTTGCACTGAAAATTCGAATTCGCCATCGGTGCTCTTCTCGTGATTGTTCAAGTAATTAGGACACTCCGGTCACCGATGACCACCGTGGCGGTCGACGCGTTAAACACGCCTCGAATTAACGGAATCCACCGGCTCCCGGTTGGCAGGCTACGTGAAAAAAAGTATTCCGTCCGCGCGGAACGTTTCGGCTGGGTGTATTCAGTGCTCAAAGGGTTAACGCCGTTGTTTACGATCACCGACGGTATATGGAGCGCGGAAAAGGCTCGGCTGTCGACGACACGAATATGCGCGCGGCGAGCGCGCGCACCGATCACGAGATAACGACGTTAATACAATAAGCAAACGTGTAACCAGGGCTGCGCCGTGGCGTGTCGGTATCCCGAGGGAGGATATTTTGACCTGCGCGATTTCGTTCGCGTTTTTCCACGTCGCCGTTCCCCGGCCCCTGTGTGTCCCGACGAGGCTCCCGTCCGCCGCCGAGCCGCCGAGCCGTTATTCCCCGCTAATTAGCCAGCGAATGATCGATCGGGGGAAACGTTAATTGAATCGAACGATGAACTGGGCGGTTCTGCCCGCCCGAAATCGACCGAGCGAATCGTTCCAACGTCGTTCCCACCGGCGATATTATTAATACCGAATACAAATCCCGTGTCCACCTCCGAAGGACTCGCGCGAGCGAGTCTCACTGTGGCCGCTCGTTTCCGCGGATGTCGACAACCTATTCGTCGCGGCTCGCGACGCCATCTTTGACGAACCGATAAATATTCGCGGATGCCCTCGCGATTCACGGGATGCAACGGTCGCCAACCGGAACTCGCTTATGAACAGAGGTTGTTCCCGCGGATGACTCCGTGTTTCTCTCCGAATCGAATATTATTTGGGTCAAGAAAAACCACTGAAACGTGGCTCTGCGATGGCAGCTGCCCGGGGAATGTACGCTAGAAACGCGTAAAATCCGACGCATACTCGCGGCGCTCGACTCTCGACGGTTCGACATCCTCCGAGCTACGTCGAGGACAGTCATCGTCGATGAGGTCATTGTAAAAAAGAGGGGGACAGAGAAAGAGAGAGACGGACGGGGAGAAAGAAAGAGAGAGGGCCGCGAGAGAGAAAGGCAGAACGGTTTCGTTCGCGTGGAACCTGGAAATTTTCGAAGTTTTCGACGAACGGAGAAGAACAAGGAGGAAACGAGAAAAAGAAGAAACGTTCGGAAGCCGATGCGTGGCGCGGCCGGTCGAAGGCGGTTTGGATTTCCGGCGACGGCTTAAACTTTAAACATCAGCCTTGGCTCGAATTCATTAGTCGGCCAATTACCGGCACGCTTCCAACGCTCGTCGAGCACAGGAGCGGACGAGCCACCTGACAACTTTCCGTCTAACGCCGAGACCGCCGCGTTCCTAGCCGTCGAAACGGTGATCTGTCGGCCTCGGCTCGTTCCATTCGGCGGAATCAAACGTAACGGACCGTTCCGTTCGATAACAATAATAGCGGCCAGACTTACGCAACGGATACCACGGCCGCGCGCAACAATTGCAGCAACCGCGAAAGTCCGAAATCTTTTCCATTCGTCGCGCGGCAAGCGCGAGGAACCGTCTCGACGGGCTCCGTCGGCGGAACTCGACGGGAAGATGATTTTTTTATTAGATTCCCGTCGTTCCGATTTCTCCGCGAGACGCTGCGGAACACGCGTCCTGTCGTTCCCCGCGTGTTTGAGGTTATGTCAGACGGTATCTCTGAACGGCGTACTATTAATGTAGTTTACGATGTTTGACGTACACTCTTGAATGTAAATACTACGGCTAGCGCGGCGAGTTTACCAACAAGTATCTTTCACTTTATCTTTGAGGTTATGTCAGAAGATATCGCGTACTTAGCTACGACTTCTTAGCGTCGTGAAATATAAATACAGCATTGGTTCACGGACGACCGTGCAATTTTGGGTCTCTGGAGTACGGGACGCCACGATAACGCTGTTTAACATAACCTCGAAGCTGCACGATTCTAATTCAACCAACGAGAATTAAACGCTGGAGGGAACGTCGAGGGGTCTACGTACAGTACGAGTCTATACAGGAACGAACAATCCAGTCGCTCGGCTGGCAAAAGCGAAGCGATACGAATAGAAAACTCGATGATGAGAAAACGCGGGATTTTTACCGGGAAAAAGACGAACTCCGACCGGCACCGGGAAATACCGGTGACCGACAGGTACGACACGTTGCAACGATAAACGAGCTAATATCGACGAGCTTCCGCGAGCGGTTAACGCGCCGCGGAACATCCCGCGAAACAAGCAACGGCGCAATATTGTGCAATCGCGCGCTTCCATTTTCGACAATAGCCCCTCGGACAAATGTCGAGGACGATGGGGAGAGAGACACGTTGAAGGCGGACTGCGCGGCGGACGGCGAGGCGAAGAGAAAACTCGTGACAGGCGGTCGAAGCGTTAAACAGGGAAATCACGATGGATCGAGAAAGAAGGAGTAGTATTTCTCCGTCGCCTCGCGACGGGGACGAGGGCGAAGAGAGGCCAGTGAGGCCAGGCCGGCTGGCTCTGTTTGCCGGGGCCCCTCTCACCCGACGGAGAGTCGAAGAGAGAGAGCAGCTGCCACCGAGAAAACGAACCAACGAACCTACGTACGCGGACGGAACGGTTGCTGAACGAACACGAACGGGCCTAACCGCTGCCGCCGCCCGTCGCTCGTTATTCCTCCACATTTTCTACGCGCTTCTATTTGCACGGGAACACCTACAGTATCTATCAACCGTATTCCGTAACCGAATCGTTACACGTTTATTCGTTGACGACCGATCGATGAAAAATACCGTGCGACTCGTCGCACGACAACCCGTGACGGGCTGTAATTTGGAGCCACGAAACGCGAGCCATACGTTCATACGTGGACTCGTTGATTCGCGAATGACCAGGCAGAGACTGGCTGCCGTCGGTAGCCATTTTAATCAACGTACTCGGTCAAATACGCGCCTCTTGATCCGGGAAACGCCACGATTGAATCCGGCCTCCGAGGCAGGAAAGGTTGTCAGCGGGTTTCGAGCGCTTCGTAGATCGTACCTCGTAACGGACACTGTGCCTTCGACGAACGTTAAGATCGCGACGGCCGTCGCCCACGAACCCGTCCGTCGCCACGGTTATTTTCGATCCACCGGCTGCCCGATCGCGACGATATCGACGACGAGCGCGTTTCTACCGCGGACGCGAGGACAGATGGGCCGTCGTGCGAGGAAACTACGCGAAACGGAGCAATTACGTCGTCGAAGCGAAAACACCGAGGACACAAGTTTCTCGAAGCCCGACGGGCAGCCATCTTGGCTAGGCACGGCCAGTTCTCGAACGTTTTCGCACGGTTTTTCGCGCGTTCCAACGATGATACCGTCGAAACACGCCGATGGGTTCGCACGCTGAAACGCGCGTCGTTGTACGGTCGCAACAGAAATTACGCTGTTCACGTTTCAGCGTGAACGGATCAACGAAAAAAATGCAACGGAATAACACTGCGTATAGAAAAGGCTCCGTGTCTCTCTTTCTCGCTCTTTCTCTCCCTCTCGCTCCCGCGGGCCGTCTCTCTCTCTTTCTCGAACAGGCGGCCAGACCCGCTGGCCCGTATGCATCGGGCGACGATTCGCGTGGTTCTCTGTTGCCGAGAATATAACGAGAAGCGAATTGTCTTTACCTGGTCACGGTTATTCCATGTATAGATCCACAGGGGGACACGCGAGAGCACGAGTCACTCAGGTACCGACACACAGGGCTCGCGTGTAATCACGATCACCAATTATCTCGCGACAACGGCGTCACATTTCACACAAATCAACAAAGGTTACCCACTTGACAAAGATGGCGGTCGCGGGGGTTACACACTGCGCGCACGCGGTGGGGAGCGCACTGCGCACACCGCGCTCTCGGCCACGACGGAATCACGAAGAAACACAGTCGTAGCGGCACGCGTTCTCCTCGACCAATCAAACCTTCCACTTTGACTCGCACACTCTCGTTACCGGTCACACGTGCGTGCGTCGTGTTTCGTTGCTCCTCTCGTTCGCGCGCGCGGCCCCACGAGCACGCTCACACGACCGCACTCGCTTCGGGAATAGGACGTGTTTCCCCCCTTTCCTTGTAGGTATGTATCTCCGAGTCGTACACGTACATGTATTCGTGTCGCGTTCGCGATGCCCCGTGGGACAGCCGGGAGTAAGAGCTTTACAGCGCGGCCAAGCAGAAGCCGCGACGAAAGCGAATACTGAAACCAGCCCGATATCGCGGTGAAGACTGCCGTGTCTCTCTGTCCCTGTGCCGCTACGTTTCTACCTCCACTATGGCCGCCCACTTCACGCTCGCTTTAACCATTCCCAATCGGCTTCTCGACGCGGCAGCGCGCGCGACTACTACACGACGATGCCGTGAGCTTTGTCAACGAGCCTTCAGGGCTGTACCTACCCCCCGACGAACCATGCATTCGCGCGTACTAAAAACAAATAATTACCGAATTACTGTTGCGCTTCACCGGTTCCTCGCTATTCGTGCCCCCCTCGATGTCTTAACACGATTAACGGACGTTTCGAGCTGTATCCTTTCTACTTTAACTTAACGACGATTCTCGTAGGGAAAGCGTGGACGACTCAAATATGTTTTTTACATGTATGGAATTAATGAATTATATCTTTCATCGATCAATTCGTAACAGGATTAAATGCTATGAGACTCGGATACGTTGAAAGGTTATTTTAGCGATAATGAGAATTCACGAAAAAATCTTATAGGATGGAAGGTGACCGGTGTTTTATTGTAAAGAATATGATCAGACTTTTTGGAACGTTTTAATATACTCCGATATGTTCACGGTATCTTTCCATGAGTTTGGTCGCGAGTGGCGTGACGTTACTTTTGCTACGGCTCCGGTAAAAACATACACCATGCCGTATACAATTTCGTAATGAGATTATTGATTTTTTTAAGAACTGCCTTCACCCCGTCCCGCGGCAACCGTGTATGTCTTTATCGCTACATCACCATACTATGCTATATATTGCATTTACGTAGTGAACGACGCAGGCGTGCCGCGCGATCGCGATAACTGTTTTTCGACTAACATTATTTCAACCAGTGCCCTTACGTTTTATGATACCTGTAAGTATACAACGCAATGGCCACGCTGCAGGTGATTGTATTGATTTTTTAAGTTCCGCATAAAATTAAACGACCATTAGGAACGCAATTTTTCGAGAACGCAAATCAGTCGTTTCGATGTACTACAACTAAAATAAAGTCAATTTTATTACCTTAATTAGTGTGTTTATTTATACAAAAGCTACTAATGGAAGTATAACAAAAAAAAGTTAGGATAAAAATTGATAAATCGTTTATTAAGTACAGAATTCACAATTACTAACTGCTTAACAATTAGCAGGGAATAAAATTGGGTTTCCCTTCATAAGTACATCCGGATCTTTGTACGATTTCAGTCGCAGCCCAAACACCGCATTTTACGCAAATATCTATGTTTTTACCTTGTACAAGTTGAGCTAAGAAACCTGGAATGTGCAAAAATGTGTTAACATCTTTTACAGAAATTGTTATTCTCTGTTAATTAAAAAGGTACAGAAAGTGAAATGTACCTCCTACAAAAGCATCTCCTGCTCCATTAGTATCAACAACTTTTTCTGGTGGAAGTTTAGTAGCAGGAAACTCTATTATACTATTGTCTTTAGCTACCAACACTTTATCAGCACCTTGCGTTATCACCACAATTCTTTGCCTTTTTTTATTTATTTTTTCCATTTGGGTTATTTTTAATGCTATTTCTTTCCTATCCGTAGTCTGGAAATCATTAACTTTTGCAAAGGTATCAGCTTCAGTCTCGTTACCAAATAAAATATCGACATATGGAAGAGCATCCAACATGGGTTTCTTATAAAATTCACACAGAAATGGAGCGCTGAGATTCATCATAAACATTTTATTGTTCTCATAAGCATGACGAGCTACCGTTTGAATAGTTTCTGGGCTCACAGTTAAGAAGAAACCCTACAATTTAAAGTACAATGAATTTGAAAATAGGTCCAAACAGACAAGAATTTCAGTTTCAACTTGTTTCTCATTATAAACACATACAGAAACATAAATATATTCAGCAGCATCTATAAGTTTTTTATTTTCTAATTCTTCTATGTGTAAAGGTGAAAAGCAATTGGCAGCAGCTAAATTGGCACATAAAGATCTTTCGTTTCCAGTGATGAGAACTGCACAGGTACCAGTGGGTTCTTTATTGGTATATTGATAGCGCACATTCAAGCCATCTGCTCGTGCTCTATCTTCTAAAATTTTTGAATACTTGTCTGTTCCCACACAACCCATGTAAGTTGCAATTTTTGGTTTCTCCAAGAACCACTAAACAAGATTGTACAAGTTTATTGTTATTTTTAATTTGGCACAATGCTATACGTTCAACTGCATTTTAATGAATTTACTTGTGCTACTCTCATAGTATTCTGAACAGAACCACCAGCAATAAAGTCTGCTTTGTATTTTTCTATTAATTCGTCATACATGGGTTTGTGTTGTTCTTCGGCAAGGATAGCACCGTTTGATTCCAAGTGGTATTTTTTTAAAAAATCACTACCTACAGTTGCTGAAATGTCGAGAAGGGGATTGCCCATGCCCAATAGGAGACCCTCTCTGAAATATATTGGAATTGTTACAGGAAACAAAATAAATACTTTCTACAGACTGCTTCGTTGTTCACGTATAATTTATTAAATAAACTGGTCTTTAAGGAAAAATGATTCTACATTTCAAAGAAGCGGGTTCCCTATTATCGTGTGCCGATCCTGAGAGTTGCATAACCCCTATCATTTCTTGCATCTTATAGTCAAAAAATTTGAAGCACAGTGAAAACTAGAAGAACTAACACGTACGTTGTTTAAATGATAAAGAGAACTACTCGGATTAGACTGCTATTGATTTGTACGTTAAGAATTTCATAACTGACAAGCTACAAATGCAACGGTGTTTTACATGCTCCTGCGAGCACATGATCACAAAAGAACATAACCTTTTCTAACGTTCGAACATAACCTCCAATACGACTTAAATCACTATAAACGTAACTTAAAAACAATGAAACGACGAAAATTCGTAACATAAAATTGTTACCGTAAGTCCTGCGCCATTGTACAAGTTCCTCGTCTACGACAAATCGAAGAGTTTCACAGGTACTGTTCATGAATGGCGACGATGCACCACTGATACATTTCACAGTGATTCCTTCCTTCACGACGCAGGGTCAAATGACATCACGTGGATTTTCAGTAGCATTTTACATCAGAATCTTATCGCTACAGTTATCTCTAAATACAACACAACAAACAGTATTACAATGTACATGGTAATACGTGTGGAATCTTGCCAGAATCTCGCAGTACAGAATATCTACACTTTAATAAATTTTGCATTTTTTTTTATTCCAAACGCGTGCCTCTAACACACGTAACATTCCCATCGAATTTGATTTACAGTTGATCCCCAACAGGCTCAAGATCTCTGAAGCCAAATATAACTTATGAAACACACACATACGACGCTGTGCATGACTCTTCGATTTCTCGTCTACGCCGCAATAGAATTACGAAACTAGCGAGGAAAAATTCCAACTGGAATAAATTACTCGTGTTATTCGAATCGAGTCCTTGAGACGGTAAAACTTAAGAGGCAAGATTTTTCCAACGCTATCGGCATACAATTATTGAAGGGATACGTCCTACAAAGCCCAACTAAAACGATACGTTTTTAATAAAAAAGACAACACAATTGTTGTTTCTTCACCACATTTGCTTTATTTACAAATCGGAAAGTTACTACCTCGTCTCGATACCTTTCAAATCGTTCGAATCAATCAGATATATTTTAATACTTTTCCTTCGCGTTATACAATATCCCATTAGGACAACGCAAACCTTGCATCTTACCTGAACGTATTTATCACGCGTTACTTACCGGTGAACGTGTATCGTTTAATTATTTTGACATTTTCTTTCCGACAACGCCATACAAAAACGAAGAGTCCAGTAACGCGGAAAAATGCAGAAAACAGAATCCCGAAAAATAGCGGCAACAGCAAAGACGAGAGCGCGGGAAAGATCGACGGCGCAAGAGCGGGAGCGACACCCGCGCGAGATCAATTCAAACGCGCGCGCGCGCGCGCTTTGAATCGTCCAGGGGATGGAAAAACGAAATGCGACCGGTTGGGAGGAGAGAACGGATGGATTTCTGCATGGAGAGAGAGACAGATAGAATTGTTCATTTCTTTTTTCGTCTTTTTTTCTTTTCTTTTCTTTTTTTTTGGTTACGATACCTTCCGTTTTCCCACACAGCAGAGAAAGACATTAGAAAATCCCAATCGTTAGCGATATAGAGAAGAAGTGTCGGGAAGTGTGAAATGTTGCGCAGCGTCTCTCGCCATTGCCAATGTTAGAGGAAGTAGTTTAGTCTGGACACACCTATATTTGCACATACGATGTTGTCGGCAATGTGCGTGCGCGTGTGCGCGCGCTCTAACCGCATCTCCTGAGAAAGAAAACATTGGCTCTCAAAGCGCGTTCGCCAGGCAGAGAAGAAAAAACTGAATAGAAAATTAACACTGTGTCGCGCACAGATAGATATACAGAGAGAGAGAGAGAGAATACGTTTTTCTTTATTATTATTATTGTTATTATTATTATTATTATTATCAGCATCATCATATGTTTTCTCTGTTACTTTTTTTTCGCTTTTTTTTATTCGCTTTCTTACGGAGAGAGATCAGAATTTTGACGATTGATTTTACTGTGAGGCTGTTGTGTTGGACTTGCCTTGATACGACGTGGTCGCGCAACCCATATTTCTGCGCCCGATCGGGACCACCTCCATCGGCTGCAGCAGCGGAGCATGTGTGTCGTGAGTCGTGTTGCCGTGTGCCCTTGTGTTAATGGCAGCACACGGAGAGTCCCTGCCTGGTCGACAATTACCTCTCGCCACATGACGGGACACGTTGGACCTCTCTCTCAACCCTCTCACACTCTCCGTACTCGTGGAACATCATCATCATCATCAAGTCCACAGCTCCTTCCAAGATTGTCCAGAAGCGCTTGTTGGGGGTAGAGGTTATCGTGTCCTATATCATACATCACATTACAATACGCATTGTGTCTTTTTAGATTTCCATGTGGCGCGTGTCTCTCTATTACTGTTTTTTTTTAT